GTTACTCAGACTTTCCTGATAGGGGAGATGATCCAAGTCCTTTATCATTCCCCCCCTACTCCCCTACACACACACAAAACAAAAAAGCTTAAACTTATATCAGTAATAAAGACTGGGCCACAGCAATAATGGCTTAGGAATCATACATAAGGAAGGTTTGTTTTTGGGTGGTTTCCTAGAGTTTGTAAATGCAATATCAAGCAGTCTGATAGACAGGAAAGGGGCTGACCCCAGTTCTCGTGATATTTCTGCTCTCTTTTTCACCAACTGCTCTTATTTTGGTATTTTAGGGCTCGGTATTTCCTATTGAAGCAACAGCTTCATCAAACAACAGCCACAGTCCCATACCCAGCACTTGGGAGTGTTCTCTCCAGGCAGGACTGTGGGGATCCCCCTACTCATGGCTGAGTCTTCACCTTCCTGATAAACAGTTTGAAGGCATGGCATGCACTGAGTTTTCAGGATTTCCAAAGCAGAGAGTAACGTGCTTCTTCTGATGTTTCAGACTATTAAGCACTGTAAACTTCCAGAGATAGAGTGAATGTTACTAAGTTACAGTTCACCAGACTTTTGTTACAAATTTCTGCAAGTCTTCATAGTAAAAGTAGAAAAGATCTGAGAAAATGTGTCCAGCTAATCTCACAGGCTGAGAAACTCGGCAGGACTAAGTTCAAGCATATGAGAAAAAGAATAAGCATATGAGAATTTATTGCAACCAGCAATAAATTTTGTAATGTATTTGACTCCTTTAACTTTTGGGGCTTTTTGAAATATAGTCTTCCACTGTAAAAATAGATTTCAAGAGGCTTGTGGGTTTTTGTTTGGTTGGTCAGTTGGTTTTCAATTGAGACTTCTAAGCTAAAAACCAGAAAGGTGAAATCTTTGTCTTTGTAAAGATGGTAGCCTATTCCCCACTGCCATCTCAGCCAGACCTCGGTACCTGGGGAAAAGACAGCTGTGGGCTCCTTGAATTTTGAGGACGTTTGGTTGCCTTTTCCAACTGTAAGGCGCAAGACAAATGAGATTTGTGCTTAGGGTACAAGAGCTGTTGTAAACATGCAGCCCAGAGCTGCCTGTTGGGCAGCAGTGCTGAGCCAGCTGTGCTGCCAGGAGCTGCTCTGCCTGAGCACAAGAGGAGCAGCTTTGGGGCAGGGTGATCCAGCACAACAGGCTGCAGGCTGGGGAAAAAGGATTGCACTCAACTTGATGCTGATTTGTTCCACATTCTGCATGAAATCACAAAGGTAAATCTGTGCAAACTCTGGCAGTCACAGCGGTTACCTGCTACTCCCATTGACTTGAATATGTCTTCTCAAGGCACTTCTGTTCTGCAGGATCTGCTTTGCAGATCAGTGTTGCCAAAGGAAGAGCTCTCATTGGATTCATTAATTTGAATCATGCCATACCTTTCATTCAGAGCTAAAAACACAGCACAAAATGAGACTAATATTGTTTCTCATGACATATGGTAATATGTCTGTACTCCTATGAGTTTGCACATGCAATTTCCTCTATAGGTATAGTGCAAAATTTGGAAATACACTACGTAATGGTTCTGTATCTCAGAGAGGTATGGGTGAGATGATATCATTTAAGACATGGAAACGCAAAATTAGTTTAGAGAAAATGCAAGTATCCTTGCATGCTACTAAAGATTGAAAGTGCTGCATTTTTTGTGTACATTCTAATTACAGCAGGTTTTGCAAATGTAGACAAATTCATGGTGATGAATTGCAGTCAACATTGCTCCCACTTCATGTCATTTTTAAAATGAAGTCCACGATTTCTACCACTAAACATCACAGAAACTATTTAAAGAATAGTTAATTCTTACCTACTGAAGAACTAAAAGTTTTCTCCATTTCAGTTTCCAAGCAGATCATTTTGGACAGGATATCAGACAAACTGCAGATAGCTGACTACAGCTGACCTTTTCAGTGAGAACTGTCCATCCTCCTAGAGCACCACCATCACTTAGAATAGAAATCTGAAGCAATGTACATGTTTCCACTGGTATGGTGTGCTGTTAACTTTTACAGCAACCAAAAAAGAACGCTCATCTTTATGGTGTTTGTAACAAGCAGAATTAAGGGAGGATGTAAAATCTCAAAGTTGTTACACAATTTCTTTGTCATGCAGGAAAAACTCTATAAAACACTCCATTCCAAAATCTGCTTCGTATTAGGCAATTACACGAAAAGAAAATAAAAATACCACAATTTATTGATTTGCATTTTGTCCAAATCAGATTACTTTATCTCTTTTCTGTTTCCAAATCTAAGTACAAAAATGCAAAACGGCATCCCTTTTCTGGTAGGATTTGCAAAGCAACTTCCATTTTTGACAGCATTAGAAAAGCTAGGCATCAAAATCTAAGTCATTAAGAGTGTGTAATGTTGAAATTAAGAAATCAATTACCATCCAAAACTGTGGTGGCAAATGATGCCTCTCTATTAAAGGTTTGGTTCCACTGTTGTTAGTCCCTTCTTGAGAACAATTTTTTCAAAGTTCTGAATGTAGCTCATGCATAGCAGGTCACCCCTGTAGATCTATTCTCAAATTTAGAGCAAATAAGGGAAATGCTTACATTTCTGTGTTCAGAAAGCACTAGACCACAAAACATTGCATGTGCTAGATACCAGCAACAAAGAGCTGATTTCATATCACCTGCCCCTTAAGTAGGATTTGAAAACTAACTTTGGTCTGTAGAAGCAGCCAGGTGCATGCACAGCTTACGCGCTGATGAGATGCGATCTGGGTGCTGTGTGTGCACGTTGGCCGTACGTGTTGGAAACAGAACAGAACAAGAGCTCAGAGATGGGGGCTGCGGGGCCGGGTGCCTCTGTGAGGGGCTGAGGAGGCTTGGCTCAGCTGGCCCCACAGGACGCATGCTGAGAGAGGATACAGTTGCAGTCTATTAATACATCCTGAGATAAACACCAGGGAGGGAGATGAGTTATTTCAGTGGAGGACAATGTTGGCATGAGAACAAATGACTGTGAAGAGGCCACAAGTTACATTTACCCTGGAAGCTGGAAGATTTTGAGTTGTGAGAGGACTTAAATTCTGGAGCAGCTTCCCTCAAGAGCAGCAAAATGTTGAATCTCTTCCCAACTAAAACTCCACTGGTTTACGCAAGGCAGTGCGTGATATGGCTGCTTGTAACTGGAGGAGGATGGGTGCAGCAGATGCCTGGCAGTCCTGCAGCCCTTTTCTCAATACTGGCTTGTCAGCCAGCCATGGAGTATGCTCTGTAGGAAGTCATTTCATTTCCCAGTTCACATAGAAATTGAAGACATTGCTAGTGAAATCTTAATATATGGAAAAATAATTGTGCACCCAGGATGTGCAATTTAATTAAATCAATATTTCTACAATATTTCTACAATCTTAATTAGTTTTCATTTCCCAGAATTTTTGTGGGTGCATCTTCAACTTTTATTATGTGTTCTTGAATCTCCAATGCACAAACTGTAAGAATACCTGTGAAATACACAGTGCATTTCAGCTCCAACACTGACACGTCTGATTGTGACCGTCGGTGTGAGCTGCAGCTTGGACATGCTGATCACTGAGGGACATTTACATCCATCTGACTGCCTGTGCAGCAGGACAGCCATCTCCCACAGCTCAACACTACATCATTGTGAAGCACACTTAGGAGTTGGAGTTCTAAACCCTCGTTAAGCAACACACGCTGTTACACAATCCTATCTCTATGTGTGCTGTAGCACACTAAACTAAGCACATTAAACAAAGAAGTATACAAACCAAAGTATTTTTGACCTTATAGTAAGGGAAATTTCTTGTTTTCCTCAAGAGAATTGCCTTACTGAACATATATTGAAATAATGTAAAGTAAAAATATTTTCAGGTGCCACACCTAGGTCTACAAATGCAGTTTGAAGCTCCACAGCTGTCATTAGAATTAATGAAAGATATACAGCTGAATTCCATGAAGAAAACAATTTAGCCCACGCATAGCAGCAGTTGGAATACACTCAGTTAAAGCTCATTTGACATTAGACTTGATTTCACACTGACCTTGCTCAGCTGGCAAATGCTTTTCTGACTGTGTTTTGGCTTATGTGTGTTTGATATCTCCAACTGCCACAAGCTGTAGTTAATTCTATGCAGATTAATTCTGCTGAAAGTCACACATTAAGGGGGTAGGAGGTTAAAACCATAGTAAAGCAGATGACAGTAATGTCCTCATCTGTATTTCTAGAATATTGGCAGCACTTGAATTTCCTTGGGACACTACATAGATACAGTTGGAGTTGTGGAAGTTTAAGCCAGAAACACAAGTACATCCAGCTGAAACTGGAGAAGCCTTGCACATTGTGGCTTGAATCCTCAGGAAACAAAAAAAACCTGCAGATCAGTAAGAGCTTTTAGTGCACACAGGTTTATATCTCTTTTCTATGGAAATAAGTATTGCCAGCTTTGCCACTACAAAAAAAAGTTCTTGGAATCTAAGACCGTCACATCTTGCCAAGTATAGCAAACCATTTTTACAAGACAAGAGACGTTTTGCACCAGGTTCACTTGGAGCTTGCGTTACTGCAGCACCAATTCAAAGTTCCCTTCCAGTGTAACAATTTCTTCTCCTTTAGCATATGTAACTTGTTATATTTTTTTATTAAGTGCCATTGCCAAAATGGCTATATGGTGTGCTGCTTGAAAATTTAATTTACACAGTCTCTGTGATGGAAAATAACGTAGTAGCCATTTTTAAAGTTTCCAAATTCTACTTTTTCAAGTGCCTGTATGAGTATCCTTTATAATGCTTAATAGACAAATTAAATAGGTTTTTTATTTTTTCCATCAGCATTGTGATAAAGAAAAGATTAAAAGAACACATGGCTAGCTGGGCACTTTGTCAAGACATTTGTTCAGTGTTACTCTAAAGAACAGTTTCAGCCAAATTTTGTGTCAGTAAATGAAGGAATGTTCAAAGTTAAAACAAAAATTTCTCCAGAATACTGTATATTCCTTACCTGTGGGCAGTCTTTGATGTAGTGTCCCTTGTTAAAGCAGAGGTGGCACAGATAGTTGGGAGGTGGCCTCTTGCTGGGTTTTCTGGCTTCTGAAGAAAGGGATAGGTCAGAAAAATGCTCAGTAAGGGAGCTTAACCCATCCACTATGTTGTTAAGAGAGCCATAAGGAGATGCACTCTTATACAGACTGCTGCTCAGAGCCTGCAAAAGAAAAGAAAATTTTACATGAAATGCAACACTGTTCCTAGACTGATCTGGGCAGGGGAAGGATAAAATTAACATTAAGAAAACGTGGGATTTTTTCATTAAGAATGTGGATTCTGTGCATTTGAGGGGAGCAATACAGTGGTCATCAGTGAAGAGGTTTCTTGAGGGCACCATGATAGAGATGATCATTCCACTGCTGGGAGCATATTGAGCCACGGTTCTTTCATCCATGGCCTTGCCTCTAAGCAGTGATTGCTTTCTTGTGTTTGATTGTGCCACAGTCATGTTCCAGTTAGAATATGTTGGCAAAAAGAGAAGGAACAAAGCAGAGAATGGACCATTTCTGTGAACAGAACTATTTATAAGAACAATACTGAAGTTGGAGAAAGGAAAAAACCATGAGAAAAACGCAAAGTAATTTTTAATTTCCAGTCAAGTTAACATGACAGTCAACACAGAGTCCTGCTTTCAACCAATAGCAAGGAACATTCAGACCTACATCTGTCTTGGATTTTCTAAGGGTTATTTAAACACTTCTTAATGAATGGTAAAGACCTAGTTTTTGTACTTCAATATGACCTTCGCTCCCTCTATCTGTGGATAACAATCGTTTCCACTCTGAATTGGAAAGGGTCTTTCTCAGGTCTGATAGACCTCACGCCAGTGCCATAACCATGTAGTTCTACTGGCATCAGAGTTCTTGCTACTTTATGGGAAAGTAAGGTAAGAAGACATCCAACCTGTGCCTCTACAGAGGCCTTGTTTTTCATTACTATTAAATCAAAGTATTTCAATGGAGTCTTTACATGTGTTATATAGATATATTGAAGACATACAGAAATTACTTGTGATAACTTGCAAATAAATTTGAAATGGGATTATATTTATCTCAGAGGTCTCAAAAATTTGGGATATCTGTACACTGAGTGTGTTTTCTTTGTAACAGTCACTTACTGAAAGAATCTTTCAGAAGCCCTAGGCACCACTCACTGGTCAGACATGGCTTATTGAGTCTCACCAGCCCCCTTACAAAGGCAAAGCTGGTGCATAGGAGTAAGATCAACCCAAGGGGCCACAGAGTGAGAGTCCAAAGCCCCAGACTTTTGCCCTGGCCTTCCCACTGACCTTCACTCTGCCCCAGGGGAAGTAATTACAACTTTCCCTCCCTTTTAGTCTGGGACATGCATAGCAGGTTTTCTGTTTACAAAACTGTGAGTGATCTCATGGAGGACTTAAACTAGCAGAGTGCTGATATAGTTCTATGCTATCTGTTCTAGTTCTATCTGCCTAGAGGAGAGTCAGCCACTTTGTTTCGGGGGTTAAACCTGTATATTTCAAAAGGAAAAGCTATTGGAAGAACTAATGAAAAGGTTTTAGCTGCTTTAGTCATCAAGTAAGCAAAGATACCTCCAAATACCTCCAACAGTCACTGGAATTTTTTTCTGAGATTTATTGGACACTGGTGGAATGGGAAATTCTTGGCATCAAACTGCTAAAAGGAAGAGGAAGTACTATGGATGCCAAAATACTATTAATTAGGGTCTTCAAAAAGTTCTTGTCTCCCTAGGAGCCACTTTCTATAACATACGCTTGGAAAATACAAAATCTCTCTTTTTAAGAGTCTCTCTTGCCAAGAGATTCTTAAGCTACTTCACATGCATTAAACCAATTAGTACCTTTGCAAATCCCCTATTACCTGATTTTTACAGAAATGTGTGTATACCCACAGAATATGTAAAATTCCAAATTCTTTACCTTTAACAGAAATGCGTAACAGAATGTACAACTTCTGACCCTAAGTAGGCTGCTGGTTCTGACCCCAGGGCTAACCCAGTGCCAAAACATGCCTACCTGCTGCCTAAATTGGGTTTTGAATGGGACATATGACTCACAGAGGTGACTACTTTCCTTTCTACATATCTTTCACAGTGAGCTATTACAACCACTGTAAGGAAGATATTCAGCACTGTGAAAAATGTGTTAGTTAATTCTATCCATCACCAGTGCTTCTTGGTATTTTTCAGGTCAATGGGGGAACGGACAGGTTGTAACGACTATAGTTCTGTCTCCTCTATCAGCAAATCTTCTTTTCAAATCATGGTATCCACAAGCCTTGTGAAAGGCCAGGACTCCCTCAGACCAATGGCTTTACTAATACAAAATCATAATCTTAGCAGACAGCCATGGCTTTATGGCCTATGTGTGACAGCAGGCTGAGAAAGTGACCATATGGCTCTGCTGGCAGGGCACTGGTGTAATATTTGCTAAAGGTGGACATGCCAAAATTTCACCATGAAACACTCTTCTGTAGTCACCATGAAGCCCAGCGTTAAGACAAGGAAAAGCCACAAATGTAACAACCAGCAGGCTACAACAGAAGAGAAGATGGATACTGTCAACATCACTGAGGCTTCAAAGAATAACTTTTCTTGTTAAGGAAAATTCCTAGAAGATCCCAGAATTCTTTATCTCTTCTAGTACAGAATCAGGCAAATTAACTCAACAGTTCCTGCCAATCTAACCTGGAAAATGGTCTGACATCAGTTTAACTCTGAGTCAATATGAAAAACACATCAATCTAGCACTTGAAAGATACCATAAAAAGCATCAGTGCAAACAGTGCTACGTTTCCCTCACTGTGGAAATCTCCAGTTCTTCAAGAGAAAAAGCCATGCCAAAAAGCCCAGTTATATAATAAGGGTGGTGGTGAGAAAATTCATCCTGGGCCCTGGAATGAAATAGCAAAAGCCCAGGAACATATAATAAGGATGATGGAACCAAATGGTCCTGTAGTCAGTTTTATCTTTGCCTTTGACAGTGAATGTTGCAAAGGTACATAAACCAGCATTTATTTTTTTTTTTTTTTGTCTGGGACATTTAATGTAGCAAATTAGCAATTCAATCCTTGCTGAGTTTTTGCTCTGTTGCAAAATAGCATTTCAAGAAAGATTTTGAAAAAAAGCTTTGAGTTAGTTTCACACTCAAAATGTCCAGGGGAAGATCAGGGTGACAAGCAGAACGTCAATGGTCTTAAAAAGATGACAATATAAAGAGAAATATAATATAAAGATAATATAAAGAGAATATAAAGAAATATAATATAAATATAATATAAAGAGAATATAAAGAGAAAGAAAGAGAGGAAGAGGGAATTGCATTCTGACTCATTTTGACCTCCAGCATACTGGTACACATCTGCAAGGTGCCAGGGAGACTGCTCCTCTGTTGGGTTCCACCAAGAGCAGTGATTACTTTGTGTTCACAGTATGCCCTAGCAAAGCCAACCTGCCTTAAGCTGGAAGACTCCCAGACTCGAAGGAGCAGTCCTTGAGAGTAGCCCTGCAGAGAAGGACCTGGTGGTCCTAATGGATGAAAAACTTAACGTGAGCCAGCATGTGCCCTTGCAGCTCAGAAAGCAAATGGTATCCTGCACTCTATCAGAAGACAGGTGGCCAGCAGGGACAAGGAGGTGATTGTCCTCCTCTACTCTGCTCTTGTGAGGCCCCATCTGGAATACTGTGTCCAGGTCTGGAGCTCCCATTACAAGACAGACAGAGAGCTGTTGGAGCAGGTCCAGAGGAGAGCCACAAAGATGATCAGGGGACTGGAGCATCTTCCCTGCGAAGACAGGCTGAGCGAACTGGGCTTGTTCAGCCTGGAGAAAAGAAGGCTGCTGGGTGACCTCATTGCAGCCTTTCAGTACCTAAAGGGAGCCTACAAATAGGAGGGGAGTCAACTCCCTGAAAAGGTAGATAACAGCAGGGCAAGGGGGAAATGGTTTTAAGTTAAGGGAGAGAAAATTTACGTTGAAAGTTCTTTACAGAGAGAGTGGTGAGGTACTGGAAGGTACTGCTCAGAGAAGTTGTGGATGCCCCATCCCTAGAGTCATTCAAGGCCAGGTTGGATGAGGCCCTGGACAATCTGGTTTAGTATTAAATGGGGAGCTTGGTGGCCCTGCATGTAGCAGGGAGGCTAGAGTCATGATCCTTGAGGTCCCTTCCAACCCTGGCCATTCTGTGATTCTGTGAAGAACTCAAAGCACAAATAATAATTCCCACTGGGAGTCTCATTTTGAGCTACAATAGGGTTTGAGCTTGACAGTGAAAGGGTTAGTGCTCTTAAACATCCCAAAGACCACACTGCATGTCCTAATTACAAGGCTCATCAGGTCAGCTGCAATGAATTCAGAATTTCCTTATCTTGATATGCTGGGAGGGCACAGAAATTATGTAAAACTTGCTTAGTGGGAAGTTCTGGCTGATAATGTAAGTTTGACTGGTTTTGTTGTTTGTTTGTTTGTTCTTTTTCTTACTGTGACTCTTGTTGACTTAGCTGAATGGGAACCAAACTGAAAAATCTGGTGGTCTGTTTTTGAAAGATAACCTTTCTGCTTGGTAGGTCTTCAAGTTCTGTTGGTGGTGCTGTGAAGTAAGGCTTCCTTTGTTATTTCTTTGCTAAGTGTTTCCAGTTGAAGAATATGCAATCAGTAAGGTTGTGGTGTGGTCCTGACTGATAGAGGCAGCTATTGTCTTGTATGGTTTCTTTGCTCTTGTTGCCAGTTGGGTAACATATGTGAGTTCTGCTATCCAGCTCATGTCTAAGAAATTCCTGATTCTGTGAAGGATCTGGCAAATGCTCTTGATTCCCTCACCTAGTCCCTTCCTTTCAGAGACAGCTTTGGGGATTAATGTGCCAAGGGGCAAGTAATGAGACACTGGAGCAGAATTTCTCTCTTCAACTTCTTTTTTAGTGATGTCATGTTAGAAGTAAAATTGTACTCTTTGGAATGTAATGTTGCGTGGCACACTGTAACAAATGGATGATAAGCTTTCTTTTCTTTTCCAAGTTCTCCCTGGTACATCTATTGCTTTACTTGTAAAAGTATTTTTTAATTGAGGTTGGAGAACATACAAACTATACTAGCATCTCAATTAGGATAATATTTAATTTTGCCCTGAGGCAATCTGGACAAAATTAGAGGGATTACCTATTTT